CTTTAAATAAATAGATCCTACTTGTTGAGGAGAATATGGAACTGTAACATTTTGGACCTAATCATAGCAGACATATGCTATTGATAAATCCTGTTTGCTTTATTCAATATTATTATTGTAGTGTTGTCGCTCAAGATCTGCTTTTTTATAATGTTCTTCATATTGATTTTTTATACTATTGTATTGATCAATATTACTTTTAGCTACTCGAATTTGTGCTTTTATGTTTTACAGATATTCGAAGCAAAGGGTTGAAATTTAAGAATAGGTATTGTTCTATGCCATATTCTATGAAACGAATAGTATGAAATAATTTGTTTATCCTCATCATGTTCAAGATAAAAATCTTCTTTATAATTGTTATATACTGTAGTGTAGTTTTCACCAGTCAGAAGATAAATAAAATTTCTGGAATCGTTTCTATGTCTTATAGGGGATAGAAGTCTGTGAGTAATTCCATATTGTGTTAAATAATGCTTAACCGATGATATTACATTAAAATCAAGGAAAACTCAGGAGGCTCATTTTGATATTTGCTTAGTATTACCATAGATTCATTCAGCTAACCTATTTTCTTGATAGTGAGTTTGTAAGGTTGACAATTTGTAAATATTTAGATTACATAGTTTGAGATAGGCATTTTTGCAAAGCAGTAACGATATATTAAAACTATATCGATAATTATGACGTTTTCTATCATTTTCATTTTTTTTATTAGAAACTTCAAATAACATTAATTGAGTTTTAATAAAAAGTTCAAATTGAGATTTTTCAAGTGCTTTTATTTCCATATATCTTTCAAAAAAACATTTGAAACCTACCTTTTCGAAACAGATTCTTATATCTTTTTTTGAGCGTTTATAGGTACAATTTGTAGCAGTATCAAAAAAAATCATTAAATCATATACTACATTAAGAACCATTTCATTCTCTTCGTAATCTTCTAACCCTAACTCAACAAAATTATAAATAGATCTTATAGAATTCATTGAAATTTTATCGAAGCATAAAAAAAAAAATACAAAAAAAAAGATAAAAATAATAAGATGGGAATAAAAACAAGATAATTGTAAATATTGTGCTACTGTAGATAAGGCATGTATTTCCTCTATGACTCCGAATTTATTTGTACTCCCAACCTAATGCTAAAATATGATTTTTTTAAAAATTGGTAACTGTTAATGATTACCAAACGTAAAGCATTACCATAAATGTTAACTGTAGCGAAATCCTTTTTGGATTAGGGTTTTCTTATTCCTAAAAATAAATTAAAATGAAAAATAACCACCTTTAAAAGGCTGTTACAAGGATGTCCAAACAGAAACCTAAAAAATAAAGTAATGCCAAATAGAGAACAAAAAAACAAAAACGCAATTTACAGTAATACTGTTTAAAAAGGAGTCTGGGCTGAAATCTAAAATAAGAAGTGTTAGATTAACAATATTTTTAAAAGAATGAATTTAAAAAAAAGACTCACACCTTCCGAATTACTCAGACTTGCAAATAATAAATAAACTTTGCATTTTTCAATTATTATTATGCTATTTTCGTTATTATTATAGTAAAAAAATTTTTAATTATTTTTTTGAAATTTGTCTTAAAGGGTCAAATTGCTAGCAAAATTCTTTGTAATATAGCAGTGTAATCACATTTCACAGTGTCTAGATTATGTGGTTAGATCATCATATCTAAAATTAGAATTAGTCAAAATTGTGTAACATAATGTTGATCATTATTTATCTCAAATTCGCAAAAGCCTTTCAGAACCCCCATTTTCCTAGCATAGAACCCATATTAGTTTTCGTGAGTCTAGTTTTAATAGTTGTGAAGTTATTGATTTTTTTGTAATATTATTAAAATGCGTAGTATTTTTTATTTTCAAGGCGTAATTTGAACATTCTGGTAAAAGAAAACAAATAAAAAATTTGTTTGACAGTATGAAAATACTTGCACAATAATTTTCGTGGGTCTATCTTGAATGGTTGTAAAGTTATTGATTTTTTTGTAATAATATCAAAATGCGTTTTATAGCATTTAATAATAAAATATAATTATTAATTCTAACATTAATTTTTAGCATATAAAATTCAAATAAATTTTCATTTTAATAAAGCTTGTATTTCCAAGGTTAAATAATTTCTTTTTATAATTGTTATATTAAAATTTTAAAGTAATTTTATTATGATTTATTATTAAAAATTTTTATTTATTCTTTAATATTTTAGAGTGTATAAAAATTCAGAATAATTTCTATTTTTTAATATTTAAAAGTTCACGTGAAATGCAAAAATAGACAAAATATATTCTAAGATAAATGTTACATGAAAATATGGGGTGAATGCTGGGAAAAAGGACCAAATTGACAAAATATTTTTTTTTGAAATAATAAATGATCTGAATCAAATGATCAAATCTACATCTATTTTATTTAAGAACTTTTTTTTTAAAAAAAAATCAATTTGGTCTAGCACTCATTCCATATAATGTGACTGATGTGAACCAATCATATTTAAGAAAATGGGGATCTAGGATATTATTCTAAACCTGGGGTCTAGGATAAGAGTGTTTTTTTTTGTTTAGTATTTTTATTTTAAAAATTAATATAATATCTTTTACTACTTTATAAATTTTAGTTTATTAATTATAATTTTTCTATTATATTGTAAAGAAATATCAAATAATAAAAATATTATTAATTCAAGGAATCAATCTTTCTAAAATATTTGTAAAATATGTAATATATCTAAAACTAGAATTAAAGATGTTTTTATAAACTATTTTTAAAAAGTTTAAATTTTGAGATATTTGAGTTTAAGCTATTTGTTTATAATAAATATCTTTATTAATGATAATTTTTAATAATTGTTTTTAAATTTTTTTGAATTGTAACTTAATTATAATATTAATAAATTTAATTACAATACAAGATGTAACAAAATTATAATATTTTTATTACAATCCATTTTTAATCTTTATCTAAGCTTCTAATAGGTTATTAAAACTTAATTAAGTTTAATTAAGTTTTAGATTTAAAAAAAAATCAGTTTAAAGGTTTTGAAAATTATTTTAAATTTTAAGCTATACATTAATATAGATTTCAAATAACATTATTAAATAGAATTATAATTAATTTTAAAATTATTAATTAATTATAACTATTTACAACTATTTAATAATTTTTATAATAAAATAAGTTTAAAGAAATTACAACTAGTTGCAATTCAAGTTGTAACTTACCAAGTTAATTATAATACTATTTTTAGTAATATTTTAAGATTAGAAACTTTTTAGGAAATAGTTATCTTATATTATAGATAACATCAAATCTTTATTAAAAAAAATAGAAAATTTAAATTTGATTATAAATTATTATCATATAAAAAATAGGAAAAAAATTTTTTTATATTAATAATAGAATATTAAATAATTACTAAAATAGAAAAAAAATTTAATATTATTATTTTTAATAAAAGAATTGATAATTTGTATTTTTTATTTTAAATTTAAAAAAAAACTTTATATAAATTATGAATTATATTAGACAAAATATTTAAGTATAAATTTATATAAGTTTATATATAAGCTTTTATGATAAATTATATAAAGTCATAAAAATTATATGGTTATAGATATTGTATAAGATATATATTTATAAAGTTATATAAATTCTACTTTATATTAAGAAATATTTGAAAATTTTTGTTAGTTTAAATAATAAGTATAATAAAAAAACCAATTATATTTAGCTTAGCTTTAGGTGAGCAAACCAATAAGATATTAATTATTGATATATTTATAAGTATATGGGAAAAATCCAAAATTTTTGTTAATTTCAATTATTAAGCTAATTTTGTACACATGGCCTAGATCAGCCAAGTGGTCCAATAATATAAAATTTTCCCTTTTCTACTGACTATCTCCCATATATATAAATATAAATTTATTAATAAATCAATTTAATTTTACTAAATAATAAATTTATACAGTCAATTTTTGATATAATGAACTCTTATTTCGAATTTTTAATCAAATATGTTAAATATATATCTTTATAATGAATCAGTCAATAAAAAATTTATAATGAATTTGAGATCCAGGTTTTAGGGTTCGTTATATCAAGATTTATTAAAATAAAAATTTAAAGATATTATATTAGTACAAATTTTAAATTGTTAAAGGTATTAATAAACTGAAATTGCTTATTGAATTGATGCTAGAAATATGTAATACATCTTAACCTCATCATAATGAATGAATCAAACATCTAAGGAGTAATTATACATTTTGTGAATTATTTTAGTTTTAATATTTTTTTGCTAGAAATGCAATTTTTGATAGTACTTCATCAAATTAGAGGTTGGTTAGGATTTTCGGGTATTACCTTTAATAAGAGAACTCACCCAGGTATCTTAACCTTACAAAGACATTTGACGATATTTATCAATCAAAATTATGCAACGATACCTTTCTATAATATTTACATTCAATGTCAGTGCAACGAATTCCTTTGCAACTTATTAATTTAATGTCTTAACAAGATTCTTTTCATATTATTGTCCCTATATGCGGTTCCTCTGCTGGCACGAGCGACTTTGAAAACTTCAAGTGATTATATTATGCCTTGCAGATGAAGTTAACGTATGTGAAACTTGCGAATCGTCTGCTTATACAATGATAATTATGAATTCTTGATTTGTTTATTTACAAATCTTATTATTTGTAAATCCAGTATAAATAAATAAATAACGGTTCGAAGAAAAGAAAAGAAACTTGTAATTATCTTGTTCACCAAGTATTATATATTCTATACGACGATTTTCATTGAACTTTTACCCAATTATTAGAAGCACAATCCCCCCAAAAAGAATAAATCAAACTTCTAATAATAAGCTTTGTAATTGAAGCATCTACTCCAGTTCATTGGATTAAGATTAATGGAGAAGGAAATTAATATTTTTGAAATATCAAAAGAGAATACGTGTGAGAAAATAACTTTATTATTATTTTTGTAATACTTGAAATACTTCATATTCTACAATTTCCTGTGTCTTCTTCATTTTTGCATTGTCTAAAATAAAATTTGCTTCAGGGTATGTATCATGACCATGTGTATACATATAATTATCTATTATAAATAAATCACATCCACTACCAAAAGCTGGTCCCGCACTTGAACTATAAAATACAGCATACTCGTGTTGTATATTATCTGCTACTCTTGCAATGTACCCTGATTTAATATCTTCTTTATTTGTAAAAGAAAATAAAAAGCTGTCTGATGTCTTCCATTTATCATCATAAAATTTCCAACTTAATGGATTATAACCACCGATTAATTTATCATTATTTTTTACTTTTGAAATCATAATAGTTGGACCCATATTGTCACATAACTCATGAAACTTGTCCACCTCAAATCCATCTCTACTGGCACGATAAAGAAGTTTGAACGAATAAGGAACATTTCTAAAACTATAAAAGAATTTGTCTTTTTTGTCAATCCAACATGCAATTATTAAGAAATTAAGCTCATCAATAAGAACGGAATTAAGTAAGGATCTATGCCTCTGAGGTAAAACCAAGGTAATTGGTGACGTATCAGGATCAATATGATATCCTATTAAATCCTTATATAATGGTTTAGGAAATATCGGTTCAAATGGTCTAATATTCTGCCAAAAGGTTTTAGCAGAAATTTGAAACCATCTAATATGTGGAATAAAATCATGAAGAATTTTTTCCAATTCTTCAAAATCATTTGATGTCCAGTGAGTTACCTTATCGATATCTAAGGTAGTAATTGTTTTTTGGATACCCCATTTGAGAATATAATTCCAGATTTCAAATTCTTCCATTTCAATTTCAACTTGTTTCAAAAGATAAATGATAGGAACTTTCCCCATTGATATAAATTTTGGAGATTTGAAAAGAATTTCAGGATTCTTACAGAAATTTTCTAAACAATAATTTCTCAAAACTTTAAAACCTTCATGTTGAGAAGCAATTTGAAATATTTCAACCAGATCCTTTTTTAAATATTCGGCTTGATTGTTGATCAAATAAGATTGAATAAAATCACTTAATTTTTGAAAATTCAATTCGTCAGTTGCAATCAAAAGTTTCAAAATTTGAGTTCCATTTACATTATCTAATTTAACAATTCCGGTATAGACAAACTCTAAAAAGAATTCAAAGGTATCCGGAGAAACGTTTGGTTTTTTAAAAATAATAATCCCATTTTTTTTTTCTGTCCATTCTTTCCATTCTTTTGACAATGCGGCTTTAAAATATGTTGACCTTGCTCCTAAAATTAATGAGTGGGCATAGAATTCTTTCATATTTTGACCTTCTCCTGCTTGAATAATTACATCATAATTATCTCTGCTAGAAAGGAGCCTCCCGAGATCACAAGATAAATCTGATAAAAAGTTTCCCTCCATGGGTCCTTTACAAAAATGAATGAATTAGGATGAAGTTTGACGATCGTAACAAAAAATTCGAAAAATTTATAGTGAAAAAGCGCGTCACGTGAAATATTTCCGCAGCAGGATATTATTACGTTATTGAAACCATCATAATACGGTCGAAAAAAAAAAATATTTGAATCTTTACCAAAATAACATACGGCATGGTGTTTCAATATCTGTCTTTTGATCGATATAACCCTGTCGTATATTGATTGACCTTTGATGAATATGAAAAAGATTTTAAAAAGATTAAGGTAAAGCAAGCATGAATACGTGAAACAACTTAATATTTAACAAAATATTTAATTGGGCTTAATAAATTTCTATGCCCAATTTTGTTACCTAGATCACTAGATCGCACATTTTCATTTAAATCTTGCAATCATTGACTTTAAATAGATTTATATTTTATACTATGCCTCTCTGCGCAGCACGTTCGTAAATTTAAATAAAATTTATTTTTATTACGCAGCAATTTTCGGTTGCATGCATACATCACAGGTACTAAATGTACTTAAAAAACAAACTATATTAAGTCCTTGTGAGGGTACATTTAACATACATATAACAATAAAGCAAATAAAAAAAAGATAAGCAAACCATCAAAGTCAATCGCAAATGATATCTGGTTTAGGGTAAGCGTAGGCCGAAAGGTCGAAACGCGGTATATCATCTTAGGGTCAAATCATATTAAAATTATTTATTTTACTTTTTAATATGTAGTAGAAATCAAATATGTATAGCATTTGCATTTATTTTAATGATATTTATTATTTATAAGGGACATTTATAAGTACGTTACTCGAACTTGAATTTGAATTTTTTGTAATGATAAAACTTTTAAATTTTATGATGCAATAATTTTATTAAACGCATCGAGTATAAAAAATGACTATCGAAAAAGAATTGATAATTGCCGAAAAAATTTACATAATTTATTGAAGCTTATTTTATTAAAAGAATTTCATTTCGTTAAAGTCGGTTTTTTTTTAAAAAAAATTGCAAATTACAAATATATGCAAAGATTTTACCAAAAAAAAATTGTGGCGCAGTATTAACTTTACGATTAAGGGGAAGTCCACATAATATGGTAATAAATGTATCTAAAAAAGCCCAAGCAACTTCTATATGCTACAAGAAAAAGAAAGCTACGTCTACTTGATTCAGTATAATTATTCTTTGACCTTTGAATGAACTTTCTTAAAAAGTGAGAAAGTTAATAACCATAATCGTCATTAAAATGAAAGAAATAAGTATTAGGCTAATTTTATTTAGCCACAACACAGCAATGAAAAACATTAATTCGATTTGTGTTACCACATGCCTCTGCTGAAATTTTTCGGAATTTTGAAAAAAAAAAAAATAATAATAATTTTTTTTTTCTTTACTTTTTCTTTTTTTTAAAAAAATAAAAAAAAATAAAATAAAATCATTCCACTTAAAATAATGTAATATTTCGTACTTTAATCAAAAGACAGTGCACCAATTGGAGTACGGTAAAAGAAAATGTAATTCGATCCAATTGTCACATTTTATTAAATCAATGATTATGGAATAAATTTATTATTTAATTTTTTTTACCGGCATGAATGAAGTTCGCGTAAGTCAATCATGTATGCCATCTTACGTGATTAAAGTCATCCCGGCGTATTACAAAGTAAAAAAATGTCGTCATTAACATTTTAGTACATGAATGAAAATGTTATACAAGACGCAATAAATCAATCAAAAAAAACCTCACAAACCTGAAAAAAAAGCTTTCTTTGTGCCTAATTGCATTTTTATTTAAAAATTTATGTAACCAACATTTAATTCTCATTTTCGATTGTAAAAATTTTTTGTTACCTATAAAACCAACATCAATGAAAAATGAAATGACCAATTTTAATATTACGTAATCAATTTGGAAGGACGATAAAGAATTTCATTTAACTTGTCCTTTCCTCCTTTACTTTCAACTTTAAAATTTCTTTAAGATAAAAGAACCAACTTCACGATATTTTATAACTTAAAAAATTCTAAAAGTTAAAATAATATGCGTTACCGTAAAATTAATTATATTGAAGACTATAATTACCGTTTAGAGATAGTACAACAACCGAAACGTGCTTGCGAATATAATTATAGATCTCAGGTTTATTATTATTATAATTTTAAGTATCATCTTGCATCAATATCATCAATGATCCTAAAATTCTTCTTAACGTCGATTTTATTATCAGCAACTAATCACTCCCGTAGCTATTTTAAAGTTGCACATTGCAAATTCCAACGGAGATGAAATTAATATTAAGTAATTATTCATTCTAACATCATTTTCATTACGATATGGATATGTTACGTCATCACAAACTAACGTAATTGATTATTTTGTCAGTGACGTCGATTCCTCGCATTTTCTTTTAGAGGCATCTTTAATTGACACGTTAACTTATGAAGATAAAACGATGATGCCACATAGGAACCTGCTTGGAAATTCGGTAATCAACCCACAAAAATTATATGGATTAGATGATGATTTGGGATTATGGTTCACGTTTAATGATCTTAGTGTGCGTAAAGAAGGCGATTATATGTTGCGTTTTAGGTTATTTTATAACGGACGGTATGTAAGATCTTGCTATTATGCACTCTAGAGTTAATTGTTTAATGTTAAATAATTTAAATTAGGTTACCGAATATCGTTAATGATATCGGATATGAATATATCAGCGAAATAACTTTCACTGAATCAAGGCCATTTGTCGTTTACAAAAAAACCCAATTTCCAGGAGACATCGGTATGTATTAAGTAGATTAAGTAGAAAGATCTCTTTTGATCTTATGAAATTTAAATTAACGAAAGTATTATTTTTTTTTTATTTGTTATAACAGAGCCAACTTCGTTATCAATTAATTTTTACGAGCAAGGTGTGAACATTCCATTAGGTTCCAGCGTTCGGAGAAATTCTAGTAGCAAGTACGTTGAAGTCATATCCGTTATCAATGAAAATGATTATTTTGAAAATTTTTATGATGACGACGAGTTCCACAGCGACTTTTATGAAGAATTATCGGATGACGATAAAATGAATGTAGATGAATCTTAAATATTTTATTATAGACTTGTTTCCTATTTTTTATTTAATTTATTTTTGTACAGTCGTAACTTATTTCATACGCTACAATATGATTTTTTTATTTAAAATAAAACGCCGAACCTTTAACCAAAATTCGTACTATAAAAATTAAAATTAACCAGGATCAAAATACAAATTATATCAAGATTATAATTTATCAGGTTTGAAAAAATTCATATTAAAGCGAGATTTGCATTCTGTGTTACAACTTTGAATTTGAAAAAAAATAAAAGAAAATTTTTCAATTAAATTTTGAATTTAAAAAATTTGATATTAAATTTAACTATAATTAGAAATTGCAAATAGCAGGGGACTTCATTCCCATCCAACTTATTAATCTACTCCATTTATTGCAATGTGATTTAAAAGAATCTTTTATTTATAAAATAAAAAAATAATTAATTACTTAAAAAATATATATAAATTATTTGTTTTTATATAAAAAGAATGGTTCTAAAATATTTTTAAAATTAGCATTTTATAAAGGTAAAGTTATAGTGATCTTTAAATTAAGTATTTATATTCTTCAATCATCAAATATATAGTTGCTTGACAAAACTTCAGGGTATTAATAATTGTCAAAAGTTAAAACCTATTTAGATGTTTTGACTTTTTATTTTTAAAAGTCGAAACTGTCAAAAGTTTTAGATAATGTTGAAAGGTTTAGACATTGTTGAAAGTATAGTTGCCTAATAAAACCTTAGGATTTTAACAAATTTCAAAATTAAAACATATTTAAACCTTTTTTTTTTTAAAAAAAAAGTTAAAACTATCAAAAGTTTTAAATAATAACTAGTATTAGTTTTAACATAAAATCATTAATTATTATTATAATTTAAACATTAAAATAATATTTATTAAGCAATACTATTTGTTTTTTATTTGATAAATGGATAATAATAAACAAATGATTAAACTAAAAATTAATTATAAATAATTTCAAAAAAAATCTAAAACCTAATCTTTATTATTATATGTTAAATCATTTGTATTTCAATCAAAAATACTAATACTTTCATTCATATTATCTAATTCTTTTCTTTAAAATTTTCTTTTAATGAAGAATTAGAAGAGGAATCATCATCAAGACTATATTCTAAATCTTCATTAAAATCTTTTTTATTCAATTGTAAGAATGATTCCAATAATAAATTCAAAGCAGCAGTTGCTATTCTTGTATTTGAAGAAGAACGATCTATAAATTAAAATAATTCTTTTTGATTAATATTTTCTTCTTCATCTTCTAATATTTGTCCATTTGTTTCATATAAATTTATAAAGCTTGACTTTTAATCATATTTGCTAAAAAATAAGGAAGTTATTTGTTAGCATTACTATTACAAAAACAACAAATTTTTGCAATTGATTCCAAATTTTCAATAATTAGTTGAAGATGTTTGTTATTTATTAACCAACTAAGTAAAGAAAATTTTCTTTTACAAAAAGTACTATTTGAAATAATAACTAAAATCTTTAAAGCTAATTTTTTGAAGATAATCTAATTTAGGTTCAAATAAAATTGAAAGATTTTATATAAATAAAGTTATGAAGTTAAAATATAACCACTTATAAAATTATTACACATTTTTTGTAGCAGTTTTAACAATGCGTTTAAATTGACTATTTTATAATCCCAAACTTAATATAATAAAAATAAATAAAAAACTTTAACAAATAATACTTACCTCTGAAATTTGGCATTAAAAAATGACAAATTAAATACAAATCATCATCAAATTCATCAAATTAAGTATTTAAAGTTTCAATATAATATGAACGAAATTGAACATATTAATGAAATGATAATTTTTTAATTATTGCTATAATTTTAGCTAAATTTACAAACAATCTCCAAGTATTATATTATAATTTCTAATATTAATACTGCTTTTATAAATGGAAAAAGAACAAAATAAAGAACTTTTAAATGAACAAAAAATTATAATGGTTAATAATATGAATAACACATTTATTAGTTACTAAATCTTGATGATTTTGAATCATTTAATAAATAAAGTTAGTAAATTAGTTAATTATTAATTAATTTTAATTAAAATAATAAAAAAAAAATTCAAATATAATACTTTTTTCTTTTAAAACTAACTCTAAACATAATATAATTTTAACACATTCACAAGCAGTTATCTATTGAGTTTTACAATATGATTTGAGACTATTACCTAAAATGTACTTTTCTGAATTAAACTTCTTACTTTTGTATCTAAAATAATATAAAGAATAAGTTTAATCATTAATTAAAAAAAAGATCAGCAAACTCAAATTTTATTATATCTTATGCTACTAAATTAATTGCATAAGCAATACATCAAATACTAAAATATGTAAATATAATAAACTGATTTTATTACATTTATTTTAAAGCTTCAATAAAAAAAATATTTTTAATAACAACTAAGAAATTCCACAAATTGTAAATACTTTAGCCTATATTTGATTAATTTTTTCACTTTTTCCTGTTTCTAAAGAATTGCTAACAAAGCTATCTAATAATTTATAACCTGAAAAATTTGAGAGTTTTTTTTTATTATTTTTGTTATTGAATCTATCCTTATCAGTATTACGTAAAAGTACTTTAGTGAAATATTCACGAATAACTTCATTTGATGCTATAGAATAATGATTAGCCAAATGATTTTTTAATTTACAAAGTTCTCTACACTCTCAATTTTTATTGCAATAACTACACTTTGATTTGTATTTGCCTTTTACTTTTTTATCATTACATGTAAAATGATTTTACACTGATCCTAATAGTCTTCCTCCAACATTTTTGTAAGATATGAAATTTTATTTTTATAAAAAAATAATTCAAAATTAAACAATAAATGAATAAAAAAAAAATCAGTATTTAATGATTATCATATTAATTTATATAAAATGTTATCATATTGATCATTTTTTATTTATTTACTATAAATATATGTAAAAAGTTGATTACTCTTTTATTTATTATATAAAAAAATGCAATTATAATAAAAAAAATTTATTTTCCAATTTTGAAATCCCTTCAGAATCCTGAATTGAATAATCAGAGATAAATATAATATTTTTTATTATTTTAAAAAAAATAATAATATTTTATTAATCACTTTTGTGAAAGTCTATTTCAGAATCCTAAAATAAATCAAAAGTTAGTATTTTAATTATTTTTTCTAAATAATTAAATTAAAAAAAATTATTCCTTATACTTATCTCTCTTTATAGATTGCTGAAGCCTTCTAGATCCTAGAATCCTAAATTAAATGAATCAGTGATAAGTATTATTTTTAAAATTATTAAAAAAAAATTAATATTTTTGCTTATTTCTTTTTATACATACTAAAAATCCACTTTGAAATTCTAGAATAAATTGAAAGTTAGTATTTTTATTTTTTTTTTAATAATTAAATAATAAACCTAATTTTTATATTTACCTTTCTTTATAGGTTATCAAAATCATCTGGATTCTAGAATTCTAAATTAAATGAATCAGAAGTACTTCTTTTGCAAATGCGCAAAAAGCCCATTCTGAAATTCTGAAATAACTCAAAGGTTAGTATTTTAATTATTTTTTTCTAAATAATTAAATTAAAAAATTTTTTTAATCTTTATACTTACTTCTTTGTATATTGCTGAAATCCAGATCCTGAAATCCTAGATTAAATAAATCAGAGGTAAGTATTATTTTAAAAATATTAAAAAAACTAATAATCTTATTTACCTCTTTTGTAGACGTCTAAAAAGTCTACTCTAGAATTCTAGAATAAATCAAAGGTTAGTATTTTATTTTATTTATTTTTTTAAAATAATTAAATTAAAAAAATAATACTTCTTTATAGATTGCCGAAGCTTTCTAAAATCCTAAAATTCTGGTTAAATGAGAATTAGAGATAAATAAGTTTTTTTTTCTTTTTAAAAATATTATAAAAAAATTAACATTTGACTTACTTCTCTTTTTGTAGTTGTTGAAGTCCTCTAGAAGGTTAGGTAGTTTATCTATACAAAGTTAAATAAAATAAAAGGTTTTGTTTTTTTTTTACAAAAACAACAAATTTCACAAAAAATAAACATTTATTTAAAATAATGAATATGAATGACTAATTATGATTAGTTTGAAGTTTTGACTAAATTTAGATGTTTTAATGCTTATTTAAACCTGCTGAAACTTATCAAAATATTTATACTTTAGACAGTTTTATTTTTAACTTTTAACATTAGCATATTATAGTTTCATCCTATAACTATATTCTAATAATAAGTTAGCTAATGTTCAGGCTTATATAAAGAGGTATTATAGACAATATCTTGAAAAGACTGGCTAAATAAATGGTCAAAATATATATTTTTTGTCTTGTAAGAATAATATGTATCAGTGAAAATATCTACTAAAATATATCATAAAAAAATTTAAATAGTGCTCTCTATATCATCATACTAATAAAACAACTATATAATATATTTTCAAGGATTTGCTAGACAAGAAATTCTTATTCTGCATACTATTATTTTTGAATAGGATGCAACTAGATAGGTATAATGAAGAATTGCAACTAATATTCAAATTCTATAGTCAATAACACTATACTCTTAATTCAATATTTCTTAAAAAAGAGGTATAGATTTAGAAATAGAGAATATATAATCAGAAAAAGTAAGATATATGTAAGGAGTAAGATATATATGTCTTATTAAAGTATTATATACTGCAGATTTATATCTATTTTTTAATTAAGAAGGAATTTTTAAATAATTCTCCTAGCAGAATGTGAACATTATTTTCTTAGAATTTTTAGTATATTATTAATAATACATAAAAATAAAAAGCTTAAGCTGATTAAAAGATTTGAATATTATATTAATGAGATTAAAGATGTCCAAAGATACAATGATAATTTAAATGTTTTTTTAATACCCTTTTACTCTTCTAATAATAGGATAAATAAATTCAGAAAAAACTAATTAAGTTCTTA